TTCTTTTTTTTTAATTTTTTTTTTGGAGAGATTTTCACTGTAGGGCGCGTGCGCTCGCCAGACAGACAGAGAGAGACATAGAGACAGAAAGCGAGAAATCACCCCCCAGGGGGGATGGTCACGCCGCAATCCCTTCTCCTCCATTCTCCTCTCGGGATCTTGGGCACGCACGCACACGCGCCCGGCGTGAGTTTTTTAAGCCACCGGGTCCGGGACACGAACCGCGGTCGACTACGTGGGAGTCCAGCGACATAGCCATTACGCTAACTGCTGGTTCCCTGGAATGCCTTCTTTTCACAGTTACATTGATCAAGGCTCAGTAGACAGAAAGCTTTGCCCATGATGTAGGAGTTGGAAGTTGGATCTCAGTCTTCATTCTCCTGCTCAGTGAGATGCGACATTCCAAAATTTCATGCTTTGTCTCTTGAACTCCATCTGAAGTCATCACGTAGATTCCAAAGTGGACATGTATTTGAAAACATGGTGTTGCATTTCTTAATTCTCTGTATGAAACTAGTGTGACACTGATTCCTAATTGGTGCTTAAATTTTTCTTGATTTGATATAAAATAACATGCTATTTTAAAATAATATGCAGTACTTATATGATTCTGTTCTTTCCACATGAAACAGAAATTTGCTTTATATTTACCTTACCTAACTGGGGTACTTGTATACTACAGGGATTTTTTTTGGGGGGGGGGATTCGGGGCATGGAAACACACATACATTGCATGTCTTTTAAGCCACCGGGCCTGGGACCTGAACCACACACTTGGCCTTGTTGGATTCAGTGCCTTAACCACCATGCTACCTGCTGGTCCCTGTTGTATTACTTTTCATTCTTTTTTTTAATCCGAGTATTCTCAGTCCACAGTTGGTTGAATGCAGAAGCCATGGATTCAGAGGGACAACTAAAATGACGTTATTTATGAATTTTCACTGTGTTCTATGTCACCTGTAAAGGTTTTGCAGAGACTCTTTAATCACAACTTATTTTCATTTTGTCTCTTACAGGGTGTTCATAAAGAATGGAAGCACTGTTTCCTTGCCAGATTCCTTATTGCTGTATCTCATGAGTCCACATAATCTTGGGGAAGAAGCCGTGTTTAATGATGACAAACCTGTCACCGGTGTAAGGGCAAAGACGAATAAAAATAAAGGCGCATTTAAATTTATATTCAACAAGGAAGTCACTCAAGCGACAACTTCTGCTGCGTTATTTTTCCAAGATGAACCGCTACACAACCATGAGGCAGTTGGGGGACGGCACCTATGGGAGTGTGCTTATGGGCAAGAGTAACGAATCCGGGGAGCTGGTGGCCATCAAAAGGTACCGTATGTGACACCAACTGCCCAGCTTACCTCGGACATGCCCATCTTTATTTTCCTTTGCTTGCTTGAGAATTATCGGGTCATCCAGAAAGTCACGACACGTTTTTACGTAGAAAATTGACCGAATATGGAAACATAGAAAGCCGGAGGAAAGAAGATTATATTTATACACACACACATACACATTCATTTGAATTGACTTCTGCTTTATTTTAAATCCATTATTGTGCTAGATTGCCTTTTTTGTTTTGTTTTTATTTTTTTATTTTTTGAGAGGTTTTTTTCGCTATAGGGCATGTGCGCTCGCCAGACAGAGAGAGACATAGAGACAGAAAGCGAGAAATCACCCCCCAGGGGGGATGGCCACGCTGTAGTCCCTTCTTCATTCTTCTCTCGGGATCTTGGGCACACACTCACATGTGCCCTGTGTGAGTTTCAAGCCGGTGGGTCTGGGACTTGAACAACAGTCAACCACGTGGGAGTCCAGTGCCTTAGCCACTAAGCCACCTGCTAGCCCTTAGATTGCCTTTTTAAAATTTTACTAAGATATTTTATAAATCTGTAGCACTGAAAAGTAGCCTTTGGTAAGCCAATAAATCTTTAATTTTATCAAACTTCTTCATAAGTTTCTATGACTTGAATGAAAGTCTGACTCACTGAGGATATTCTAGAAATAACAGCGATGCCCTCATGTCTTCTTATAGTTAATCAGAGATAGTCACAAAAATAAGAATCTCTACTATTGGGCTGGCCTCAGTGCCTAGTGGTTAAGGGAGCCAGCTCCCACATAGCTGATCACAGCTTCTACTTTGGGCTAGTTAAGGAATCTGAGGCACACAGGGGTCTGTAGGTGCCTTGTCCAAGGTCACACCATCACTGAGTGGCTGACTAGACTTGCCCACTTGCTGGAGCACCAGATTATGCTGCCAGTTCTTTCCTAATTCCCTGACCCATGCGCCATACCCTCACAGAGGGTCTGGGTTATAAGAACTATTCTAGGGGCCAGCAGGTGGCCTGGTGGTTAGGTGCTGGATTCCCACATGGCCAACTGTGGTTGAAGTCCCAGACCAGTGACCTGAAAATCACAGCAAATAAATAGATAAATAAGTGTTTTGTTTTTAAAAAATAGCTATCCTGATTAATAAAAGCAATGCCAGCTTCCCGAGAATCTTCTAGAACATCTCAAGGGGAGATTACAATACCAGATGAAAGCAGTAGGGCATATTCGGTTTTTAATTTCACTTGCTGTCCTTATAATTCCTATGCCTGAAAGAACCTTTGCTAGGATGGACATCCTGCTTTTTCTTGTCGCCTATTTTATATGGTGGCTGAAAATCTGTTGACATAAAAACCCAACCTCTTGCGTATACAATGGAAATGTCTGAGTACCCTCCGTACAGTTTTGCTTTATTTCTCTCTAATGGCAGGCAACATTGGGATGGGGGGGAGGAGGAAAAGAACACAATTCAAGAAAGTTATTCCTCGGGTCGGCTCACTTCTTCTGACTTTTGGCTGACGTAACTCACTTCACTTTATAGGCCTCTTTTCTAAAACTGGAGTTTCGATATAAATATTTTCAGATCAAATCATTTAACTAAAGTTGCCACCAAAATTTGTGATTTCTTCCCCTCTCCCCCGCCCAAAGTGTAGTGTTTCATATTTCTGTTTTGCATTCCAGAAAAAGGGGAAATTGGGCAAGGGCCCTGTTAGAGAAGCATAATTCAGTTAGACAAAGGTTAATAATTCGCATGGGAAGAAAGCTTAATGGTAATTCTTTCACCTTGTGTTAAAGTAGAACTTTAGATATGGTACAGAGCTGAGCCTTTACCAGGAAGCTTGGAGATACATAGAAGGGAGATGATTTCCTTCTAAAGAAGAGGTTAGAGAGACAGAACAAGAAAGAATTGACATTGGGACCAGCAGGTGGCACAATGGTTATGTCACTGGACTTCATGTAGTTGACCACAGTTCAAGTCCCAGACCTAGCGGCTTAAAACTCATGCCGGATGTGTGTGCGTGCGTGCCCAAGATCCTGAGAGGAGAATGGAGGAGAAGGGATTGGAGCATGACCATCCTCCCTGGAGGGGTGATTTCTCACTTTCTGTCTCTCTGGCAAGCACGCGTACCCTATAGTAAAAATATCTCTCTCAAAAAATAAATAAATAAAAGAAAGGAAGAAAGAAAATTGACTTCTGCTTTAACCTGAGTAAACCCAGACTAGAATAAGAGAACCAATCATGCAGTGTGTGTGTATTTTTGAATGCTCAGTCCTGGCACGCTCAATGTCTTCTTATTTATTTCAGGATGAAGAGAAAGTTCTATTCTTGGGATGAGTGTATGAACTTGAGAGAAGTTAAGGTAAAATCCTAGAGATGGAAAGAACCCAAGAAGATCTTAACTGCATCTTACACCTGAGAACAGTAGCTAAGGAGGTTATTCTGTTCCCTGCAGAAGCATTCCAAAGATGTCGTGTTTATGTTCCCTTTATCTTCCTAAAGTAATTTCTCATTTCTTCTTGTTCAGATGTCAGTGGGGAACAGAAGATAATTACACCGGGGCCAGCCAGTGGCGAGGTGGTAAGGCAGCTGGATCCCACATGGCCAACTGCATGGTTTGCATCCTGGACCTGATGGCTTGATACTAGCCTGTGTGTGTGCATGCCCAAAATCCTACAAGGAGAACAGAGGGGCAAGGATTATGGCATGGCCATCCTGCCCAGGGGATGATTTCTCACTCACTCTCCTCTCTCTCTCTCTAGTGAGCATACACACTGCAAAGCAAAAAAAAAGAAAAAAAGAGAGAAAATAATTATACCTTTTTATTTGAGAATTCGCTCACTTTTTAATTGCCAGAGGGTGCACACACTCTCCAGAATGGGGGTGGCGTTAAGCTGCAGTCTCTTCTCCCTTTCTCGATCCTGTCAGGATTTTGGACACACACACACACACACACACACACACACACACACACATGCCCAGTCTGTTCACTTGTTTTTATTTTTTATTTATTTATTTATTTTTAAAGCCAGGCTTCTGCTCTGTGACAGTCCTCCTGCCTCAGCCTCCTACCTGGGGTCCAGGTGACTGCCACCTGTTCAGCTTTTTTTTGGATGGGTCTTACTCTGTTGCCCAGGACAGCCTTGAACTCTGCATCCTCCCGCCTCACCTTCCCTGAGTCGCTGGGAACATAAGTACACCACCACGCCTGGCCTTTAGGTGAGACCAGGAATCCTGTGTGCTCCCTGTCCTCCTCTATGCTCCCAGCCTGCAGAGCACAGCAACCTAGCAACGCGTGCCCAATTTTCATAATTTGCTGTAGGGCATGTACACTTGCTGGAAAGAGACAGAGAGAAAGCCAGAGAGGAGAGGTAAAACGAGAAAGCACCCCTAGGGGATGACCACACTGCAGACCCTTCTCCTCTACTCTCCTCTTGGGGTTTTGGGCATATACACACATGTACCCAGCATGTTCGTCAAAGCACCAGGTCTAGGACTCCAAGCATGCAATCGGCCATGTTCCCACAGCTGCTTTCACCACCACAGCACTGGCTGGCCCGCCATGTACATTTTTAAAATAATTGTTTTATTTCATTTATTTATTTTAATTTGTCCAGAGAGGGACAAAGTGAGAGAGAGAGAGAGGGGGCCAGCAGATGGCGTAATGGCTAACCTGCCTGAGCCCCCCCGAGGCGGCCGGGGGGTC